CCCCTGGGGGGGTTTGTGGGGGGGGGGGGGGTATTTTTTTTAAACAAACTTAGTGAACAGATTTTTTTTTGTTTTTCCTGTCATGACACAGATCATTCTGTCATCTTAAGCACACTGTTAGAAATGTAGGTGCTATAATTCATGTAGGTGCTATAATTCAAGGGATTCAAATGAGCAGGAGCTTCCTGCTCCTTAAGGTGACATGGCATTAACCTTCTAAAGAGTGTTTGTTTTGTATTATACAGGAATGAGTGTATTCTATTTTCATGTTTATTTTTGTGTGTTGTATGTGTGCATGTGAATATGGAAGTCAGAGGTCAGCTTTAAGTCTCTCTTCCTTACTTGTGTCCACCTTATTTTTTGAGACAGGGATTCTCACTGAACTGAAGCTCACTCTGTTGGCTGGATTGGCTAGCCAGTGAACTTCAGGGCTACACCTGTCTCCTCTTCTCCAGGGCTGAGAGTAGAAGCCTGTGCCTCTGCACCAGGCTTTTATGTGGGTTCCGGGGTCCATGCTTGGGTTCATGGGCTGTATATATGTAGCAAACACCTCACAGAGTGAGCTGTCTCCCCAGTCTGGAAATGAGTGTTCTCCTACAAAAACAATACTTGTTTTACTTATCTACTTAGAATGCGAGGATGTATTGGTGAAAATAATGCAAGATACCAAATGCCCTTTAAAAGGTTTTTGTTTTGAGTCAAGGTTTCACTCTGTAGCCCTGGCTGGCCTTGAACTCACAAATGTCATTCTTCTTCTGCCTTCTGAGTGCTGGGGCTAGAGGTGTGCGCCATCACACCTGACCTGAAGTATTTCTTTTTTACAGGATCAAAGTCTACACTTGGTACCTTCTTCCTTCTCAGGCTTCCTTTCTAGAACCCCTCTAATTTCTTATTGGTGATTCCTCTTTGACACACCAGGTTTTCTACTGGACAGGCAACAGTATACGCCTCTGAAGACGCACTGCTCAGCTTGTCTGCTCAGCTTGTCTTTTCTTTGTCCCCTCCTTTCATGTGATTTTGGGCTTTTTAATTTGCTTATGTCTCAGTTTCTTCACATAAAAACAGTGAAGGTAATAGCATTTCTCACAGAGTTGTTTCATAAACTAAATGAACTTAGAAAACTCTCAGAACTTAACTCACTGTGCTCCTAAGTTTATTAATACAACAGTCATCACTTTTTGTGTTTTTTAATTTCTTAGATGAAATGAATCTACCCTGCTGATCATTCTTGTTCCAATACTCTTTTCTCCCAATAGTTAGGATGATATCACTCTTTAAGTCTTGTAAAAGAGTATTCCTTTTTCTGTCCACCCACATACCATGTCCTGTGCCTGCCTTGCTCTTCCCTCTATCCCCAGCTATTTAGTATATTGAAAGAGGTACCCCCTCCCCCAAGAACTCCTTTATCAGCTCACTTTCTCTTCTTCAGGTTACCTATCCTGGTCTCCACCTTGATAGAGTCCTTCCTCAACTCTCTGGTGATTTTGAGGTTCTCTAAGACTAGAGAGTCACTTAGAGCATTGGAGTTCCACTTACTATGGAACTTGGCTTGTGGTGATGTGGCTGAAGTTTACTGTCCCCACCATACCCTGTGTTTAAGGTTCCTCTTTTACCACTAATTTTCTGTATCTGCCCCCTCCCCCCACCTCTCAGCATCACCTCAGGAGGGTATTAGTTAATATAATTAATTTCTGAGGAAGCCTAGTATCCCTCTGGTCTCTATTCTGGGCAGTCTCCTAGGCTGGCTACTCATCGGTTACTCTAGGATTCCCCCTTTTCACTTTCCCCAGTGTTGACTTACTTGATTTGCTTGCTGTTTTTAAATGGTGCCAG